TTATTTTTAAAATTCGATAATATATAGGAATTGATTAAAAAATTTATACAAATTATATATATAATGTTTAAATATATAAAATATTTAATTTATTTATTAATATTTTTAAAATTATTAATATTTAATTTATAAATAATAATAAATAAAAATCAAATTTGATAAGAAATTATTAGAAATATTATAAATGTTTTTGTTAAAAGAAAATTTTAAAAATATTCTCACATAACATAAAAATTCATGTTTAATATAGAGATTAGATTTCTTAATTTCTCACTGAAAGTCATTCATAACAAAACAAAATAAAAAGTCAACATATTGGTGGTCACAGATCCACGAAGCACAGTCATTGCTTCTTATCGATTATTCAGACAACCTTTTTACTGAAATATATTAAAAGGGGTTCATGTTTCGTATAATAATTTTTAAATAAAACATCTAATTTTTATATTCCTTTATTAAAAATTAAAATTTAACAATAAAATAAAATATTATTTCTTTTGGATGGTTCATTAGTGAACCATTTCATACGGGTCTTCACCGTAAAAAGCGCAAAAAAAATTGTATAATAATTACACATATATTTTTTTTTATAAATAATTTCTATTATAACTTAAAGGTAATATATACCATTATATTGGAGGATACCCTTTTAATAATTGGTTTTAGTTATTATTTTTATGTAGACGTTTTATTCCTTATTTACTTTCTCTCACGTTAATCTCTTTATCTCATTTACTCTCGTTTAGTTTACACATTCATTTTCGTTATTCATTTCATAACTCTTCATAACATAATAATATATTTTTTTTCATGAGGCACAAATGGTCCTTTTTTTTTTCTCTCGCTAGTTTTATATAATAATTGTAATTAAATATCGGAAGTTATTAACATAAATAATTCAACATTTATACTCTTTAATTAATAATAAGAATTTAATATATACTTTAAGTATAAAGTCAGAAGCAAAAGTATGACTTTATTATTCTTAAGTGGAATTAATTTGGTGAGAAGAAATTATATCTCTTAATTATAAAAAAAAATGATGAAATGAGTGTAAAAAACTTGTACATAACCAACATACGTTTTATTTAGAGAAATAATATTAGCATAAGAAGATTTGTTTTATGTCTTGGAGGGTATGGTAGAAAAAAGAATAATTAAAGAAGAAGAGGGGAAGCAAAATGCAATTTTGGGAAAAGAGAGGTGGGTGAAGCCCATAGGGATACCCCACCAAATGATTCAGAGATGATTTCCAAAAGGGTTGCATTGCATGATGGAAGCAAAGCCCATTCCAACTACATAAACATAGCCCACCTTAAACAAAACAAAACAAAACGTGTCCTTTCCTTCTCTCTTGTGTTGCCTGGCGTGTATGTAACTTAACTATCTATCCCACTATTAAATTAAATAAATAAATAAACATTGCTGATTTCATATGATGATAATAAAGCACTGAATGATGACTCTTTCTTTCTTCTCCTCTCTTTTCTTCTTCTTCTTCCCTTACTCTTTCTGCAACATCAAACAATAACAATCTTCCCTTCAAGCCGGCCTAAACCCCATTACCCCAAACTCTGATCTTTTTTTTCTTTCTTTCTCCATCACTCTCTATTGGATCATCAAATATTGAATTTCATTCCCCTCAAGAAGATTTTTACTTTTGTGAATTTTGACCCATTTGGCCACCGCCAAATTTCGATCTTCTCCGTGCCAAATTTGTAATCTTTCCGACCTTTGGCGAGGTGGGTCGATCCAATTTCGCTCCAATAATCGTGGGTTTGATCTGAAAAGGGAAAAGAAAGGGAAATAGAAAAGAAAAAAAAAATTGGGTTCTTTCTGATTCAAGATTTTGTCCTTTTTTGTTTCTGAAATGGTCTATTTCCATAGCTCAATCTCTCTCTGCAAGTCCGTTGATCAATCATCTTCCATGGCGAATTCAATTTGTTCTGCGGATTTCGGTTCGAAATCGAGGCAAACGAATAACCACCAGGCTCAGAAGAATCGGAGGGCCCCAAGTTCTTCGTCATCATCGAATTCCCTTCAGATTCCACCCTGTGATCGATCTCGATCGGCCATGGTCGATGTTGTGATGTTCATTGCTGTGGTTGGCGCCTGCGGGTTTTTGATCTTCCCTTATGTGGAATTTTTGGTGACAAAGTGTTACGAGGGTGTAAGGGCTGTTGTGTTTTTGATCAAGGAAGAGGTTTCCGTTGCACCTTGGATCTATGCCTCCATAGGGCTTAGTGTTGTGTGTGCCGCATTGGCCACGTGGGGTGTGGTGGCTTGCACCACCAGGAAGTGTGGGAACCCCAATTGCAAGGGTTTGAGGAAAGCTGCTGAGTTTGACATTCAGTTGGAGACTGAGGATTGTGTGAAGAATTCGGCGGCGGCGGCGGCGACCACAGTGGCGGCGAAAGATGGCGGTGGTGTGAAGAAGGGTCTCTTTGAATTGCCCCGTGATCATCATAGGGAGCTGGAGGCTGAGCTCAAGAAGATGGCACCACCTAATGGAAGGGCTGTACTGATTCTCCGGGCCAGGTGTGGATGTTCTGTTGGTAGATTAGAGGTTCCTGGACCGAGGAAGCATCCTCGGAAGATCAAGAAGTAGTAGCAGACAATTCTGTTCGAGACGAGTAGGATTCAGGAGAGGAGAGGGGAGGACACTCCTTTTGATTTATTGGAAGGAAGGAAAGGGATGATGATTGGATCAAATAGAGAACGTGTACTTGTTACTATCCTTATGTTCATTGATCTAGTAGGAAATTAGGATGTCTTTAAATAAGCCCCTTGGCAATAACTTGTAAGGAACTATGGGTTATCATCATACATAGTTAGTTGGTCATACCTGGAAATAGAGAAGAAAAAAAAACATTTTTATTTTAATTTACTTTTTGAGTATTCGAGATTTATACATAGTTCTGAAAGATTTCTGCTTCAGGGTTTTGAATTTTACTGTCTCTTGTGGTTATTGTTATGTTATGTTGTGTTATTTTTTTTATTTTTTTATTTTTTAATTTTTGGTGATAACTGCCTAGGATTTTAAGTTCTCAATCTTGTTATGAGCTGCAGGTTTTGATAGAATAAGTTTAATGTTCTGATCTTCTGAACTTTGTTTGAGTTTGTTTCAATCTTGAAAAATTCATTTGAAGCTTAAATGTATTGTTTCTTTTAACTTGATTTTACTGTTGAACTGTGATGGAAACTTTCTCCTATTTTCATTGCCCCGTGATGTGATTGTAGGCAGACTTCTCTAGTAGAGGATGTCTGGAATGTTAACTGTGGATAGACTGCTCAAGCTCCAGCTCTAGCACATTACATATTTATATACAGGTATATGAAACCTTTGGTTTTCTATTTGATGATAACTTCAATGATTAATATTTTCTTGTTATCGATGTCTCCTTCTGTAGTTTGTTGTATTTATATATTGGACTTCTTTTTCGCCAGTTGCATCTAGAGTCCTGTACTGATTATTCATCCTGTTTTTTGTTTGTTTAAATAGAACAAAACTATTTTGGATCCTGAAATATGACCTTATATTTTTTCTTTTCTGCTTCCTGCGTTTCTCCCTATGAATCTACTTGGTTTATGTTTCTATCTGTTACCATAGCCTTTTTTGTTACTGCTAGAACTTTCTCTTGGTTAATTTTCTGTCTATTATTTTGGTATGCTTGGTTCTAATTTATTATTATTTTTATACAGTTACACACAAGGTGTTTGCAAATAAATTTCCATGGTTGCTGTATGGCCACATTCATTTCCTTCATGCAGATGTGCTAAACTGTAACTTGACATTAATTTTTTTCATTTGCAATAACCTTAAATCAAGGGTAGTGCACAAGTGAATATTTTTCTACCATTGATGAGTAACTTGAGGGAGAACAATCAGTTTTTATATGGAATAATGACCAGACTTGAACAGCATGATTGGTAAGATGTTAATGTTAATTTATAATGCATTGAGCCAACTATTGATTTCTACATTATTTTCTTCATTGTATCCAAATATTTGTTTTATGGTAATCTGAACATACTTGATTTTTCACTGTCAAGTTGAGTACTCTCGGTCTGTCTCACTTGTAGAAATCATCAGAATGCTAAGCAGCCATCTTGCATCAATCGCAATTTTCTAGTCTGTAACCCGGTTGAATAGTCTTACCGTATGTTATTATGTTATATTCACTTAGTTCTAAATTACACTGTATATTTTCTCTGTTATTTTGCAAATAACTTGAAACAATTTAGGTTGATGAGACAAAATCCCACAGAGCAAGCTCTAACATGATATATTTTTATGTGGAGATTTCTCAATCATTCGTTCAATAAGATAGAAGACAAATCTCCAAGGTTACATTCATAAATCTCCATCAACATAAACTCTTAGAAATGCGAGCAACACACTCTTTCCAACTCAATCTTTAGTTTTTAGTATCGAGTGAAATTCATTTGTGTTCTACCAAATGATGCAGGTCTTGCTAATCTCACTTCCAATTTAGTGGGTTCCACATGAATTTTGCCTAACAAAGAATATATTAGATAGTGTATATTACTAACAATTATTTTGAATCACCCTCCTTGAATGTATGTTGAAAGTGTGATGGAAGAAGCATCCCATTTATATCTTTTGCTCCAAAAGTATGATGGAGAGATTTCAAAAAGCAACACAAATATAGCTTGACTAGTTTGACCTTTTTCCTGAATTTTATACTTTTAGAACCATAGCAATTCATACCCCTGTTCAATTTACTCTTACAAAAAACATTAAGCCACCAAAGACCCAAAGCACATTAGGACTTCCTATGCTTCTAACTGCCAATTTTTTAGTAATCATATCAATCAGTATTTGTTATTCCCCTGCACAAACACTTGGTTGGTATCACTAGTTAAAAGAAAAACCTGACACACTTCTGGCCATTTCAAATGGACCTGTCCATTTTAGCTTAATATTGTGGATGCTTAAGCAAGTGCCATTCATTCTTATAATCCCTGAGTAAATATTTTCATAAACACTTACAGAGTAGGAAAATTAAAAGAGAAAATGAATTCATCTCAACTTTCGTAAAAACAATTTCGCATTTAACTTATTCAAAAGCTGTAATGCATAAGATGATTTTAACTTATGGTAGGGATTTAATTAAGTTTACCTTTTTATCTTGTGAATGCTTACAAAGAGGTATATCTAAAATTAAAACAGCATGTTGCACATAGATGAAAATAAAATCCTTTGCACTAGGTAGATATGTAGCTTTTCAAGTATTGCAGCCGAACAACTTTTAAAGGTATAGGAAACGAACTTATAGAAATATGCCATATTTTTATTGCAATAATGAATGATGGTTGTTTTTCTTTCAGATTTCAGTCTCTTTCATTGTAACTATCAAATGCATGTATCTCAATAATGAGGTGATATCGATAATTCATTCAGGTTTAATGAAGTTCAAGGGGGCAAAAAGAAAATGTTCTTATATATTGTTTAGTTCTGAAATACCTTCACAAGTTTTCAATAGAAATGTTTTATCATTTTTTCATAAATATGTAAATAAATATAACTAACTATAAAATGTAATCATGCTATGAATTTGTCAATAATTGACTCCATGTATCAAGAGAAAAGTATTGATCAAAGCTATATATTTGTGCAAATGTGCTTATGTGCCGTTTGAGGTGTGATTTGTATTATATAAATTAAGGGTAACAAATGGCCACAAGCAGTACAATGGTGGCGGTGAAATCAAAGCATAATTTGTTCTATACAAATATTTGTCAAAAATTCTAAACGACGAATAGATACAGCTGAGAGAAGCATCTCTTTTCAACAATTCACGCATCTTAAAGTAGGCACAAAACAAACACACCAACATGCTTATTCATACAAATATATTAAGACGAAGCACTGAAATATTCTTTTAACCCAGAGAAATATAGTAATAAATTTGAGCCTCCAATTTGACATTAACCTTTCACTTCTATTGTGAATTCCTTTCCATGGGAACCATTAGTACTTAATGGGTTTTCATTTGCATAACGTGTTGCTATACCGATTTTTAAGCCACCTCTTTTTGGGAGATAAAAAAATAAGCTTGATTGCACTTTTTGTCACTAATATTTTACCATTTTGTGAATTGTCAACTAATTTTTGAAATTGTACATTTTCTTATTTAATTATAAAAAAATTCATATATTTAATCATTCGTTAATTGACTATTAATATAATATGTTGATTGTTAATTTGTCACATTGATTGTTGATATGCATTATTGTGTTACACAAATAATGATAACGTGACATAATGTGTCATATGAACAATCAATATGATATTTCATTCATTTAAACTCTCGATAACTTAATTAAAAAATATAAATTACTATTAGTGTCAATTGACATTTATAATATTAAATATTTTTAATTATAATTTTACTCAATCTAATTTAATTTACATGATATTTTAGTTTTTTAATTTATTTTAAGATAAACAAATCATGTTACGTTTTTTTAAGCAAATTTGGTCTTGTCTTTGATTTTATTTAATAAAAAAAATGTTTAAAAATAATATTTTTAATTCAAATACTTATCCAAATAAAAATATCAAAAGTTCAAATTGAATTAAACACCAGCAACTAGTTATTTATCTTAACCAAATATTTTGAATGACTGAAAATGAAATTATATACTGTTACATAAAATTTTCTTGTAGTAAACCCTCCAAGTTCCAACTAGTTAACAATAATACTTTTTGTCCTAAATTCAACGCCAACAAATTATATTTCTCTCTAACTACAAAACCTGCCTATGGCTGGACCATTGACGCAAACTCTTTTCAACTCTCATCTTTTTTATAATCACAACCACATGCCACGTTTCCTATTAAATAATATATCACGATCAATACCCTCTTAAACAAGATGTAATTTAAGCTCAGTAGTTAAGTGACTTTACTTATGCAAAGAGGTTGAGCCCATGAAAAAGCACTTGCATAAAGAGAAATGTTATGAGGAGTGATTGACATGACGTGTATAGCAAGTGGTAGCATTGAAGATCCTAAATGTGTATTATTTCACCAAATGAAATTGAATATAATTGGTAGAATGCTCTTTGTGGTCATAGTGTGGAAACTAATTATATATTTAAAGATGTGTTGGTGTTTTATGGACCATACGTGTCACTTTTTTTAATTGTAACCATTAAGGATGGCTTTATTAAAACATGCATGCAAAACAAGTTCACGATCTTAAATATATAAAAAAGTTAAAATCTTGCGTAACTCTTTTCTCATAAATATTAAATAGGTGTCACCTGTTTAATGATGATCGAGATAAAGAGTTTGATTGGGTAATTTTTTTTTAAAGGTACTTCTTAAAAAAAATTAAGTACATTTTTTATAAACTGAAATTAGTTTATATGAGGTAAAAATAAGATTTTAAAAAACTAGTAGGAGAAAATTTCTCATAAGCAAATTTTATCACATAAAAAAAGTTTATTTTATTTTATTTTTCTTATTTTTTATCCTATAAGTACTTCTAAAAAAATTTACCTAAATTGTCACAGACGCAATTTTGACTAGTATGTGAGAAGCATTGTGGACATGTTGAATGCATGAGAATAAAGAAGTTGGGAAATTTGTATATAGAAATTGTGACTAGGGGTGGGCAAAATGAACTGAACTGAACTGAACTTATAAAAACTATACTGAACTTAAAAATAGTTCTTATGAACTGAACTAAACTAAATATTAGTTCAGACTAACTGAACTGAACTATTTTTTTGTGTCATTGAACTGAACTGAACTATACTATAAAAACTTGAACTGAACTGCAGTTTAAACTGCACTGAACTGTTATGATATTTTGAATTGAACAATTTTGACTCATTGATCTATCAAAATAAGACACATTTGCCAATATTACTTTATTTTCCATTTTATTTAAATTTTTCAAAAAATATATATATATAATTAAGTCAAACAAACTCATTGAATTTTAAGCCTAAAAATAAGTAGTCCAACATAGCTCAATTGATCCGTTAGATTCGACAAAATTGATACAATTTTTTTTGGATCACTTTTTTTTTTTTTTAAGTTTTGGTTATTAGACTATCGAGTTAATCCATTAAGACATAACATGTTAGACACATTTAATTTTTATCCTTTTATAAAAATAGTTCAATTTTTATAATTCAGTTCAGTTTTATAGTTCAATACAGTTAACTATCCAACAGTTCAGTTCAGTTCAGTTTTTTTTTTAAACAGTTCAGTTCAGTTTTTTTACAAACAGTTCAGTTTTTTATAGTACAGTACAGTTCAGTTCACCACCAGTTCAGTTCAGTTCAGTTTTTTTTGCCCACCCCTAATTGTGACAGCTATTTTTAAATGAGTATAAGAAACTGAGAGGAAGGGTTTAAGAATGCTTCCGGCTTGTAGTTGGTTTAAAAGCCATTAGCCATATAAGCCTTGATAATAATGACACCCAAACAGAAGATATATACCATAAGATGGACAAGTTGGTGGTTGAAATATGAAGCATGATTACACTCTGGAGCACAAAAGTTATACTTTGCTATTAAGTAGTAGTAATATTTCATTATATTACTTAGCCATTAAGAATAGATTCCTTTGCCTATAAAATGCTAATTGTTGTACCATGATTTAGAATCAATCAAATTTAGTGAATATCAATTTGTGTAGCAATTCGAGTGTGTGAATATTGGTTTCACATTAATAACAATTGATATCAAAGTGTTTTGAGAGCTTTGGTGATAATGTGAGTAAAAGAAAAATATTTGAGTATGTGAGGAAGGAGAGGGTTCACTTTGTCAAAAAGAAAATAAAAAGTTATATTTTTCGGAAAGAGAGAACTCACAATATTTGAAATTTTGTTGAATTGAGGTTAATAGAAGGAGCTAATGATAGTGTTAGGAGGAGAGACCAATTGACATTATCACAAATTCATCAAGGAGTAGACTATTCTATTTACGGCAAAATTGCAAATGCCAAAACTTTCAAAGAAATGTGAAATATTTTGAAGTTGTCATATTAAGAAGTAGAGACGACTCAAAAATCTAAGTTGTAATCTTTGAGAAGAAAATATGAAAGGTATGAAATGTCCAATTTTAAATCCGTGGAACAGTATTTTTCGCATGTTGCAAATCTCTTCAATAAGATGAAAATGTATGTAAAAGATATTCTTGATAGTAAAGTGGTGGAGAAAATTCTTTGAACAATG